GTTTTGACAATCTTTCCAATTTGACATGCTCCACCACATAGAGCATCTGAGTGATAATCAAGTTTTGGCAGCCCCTTAACAAGTTTTAGTTTTCTAAACTTAGGGATCAACCTTAAAATAGCATGACCTAACCTTTTGTGCCAATCCCATTTTTCATCACTCACTGACATATGAAAAACAACCTTTTGGCTTGTCAAATCAAAAAGGTTGATTTTGTAAACATTTCCCTTCCTCTTCCCTTTAAAGAAGATGGTTTCATCAGAATTGTAGAACAAAAGTTCTCATCAAACACAACTTCATAACCACTATCACAAAGTTGACTTATGCTCAACAGGTTATGTTTAAGTCCACTAACTAACCAGACATTATTCACAGAGATTAGAGAGTTACCAATAGTTCATGTACTAATAATCTTCCCATTTTGGCCTCCTCCAAATTCCACACTAACTTCCTCCTTCAGAGTCAGGGTTTGGAACATATGTTTTTCTCATGTCATATGACATGAGCATCCAATGTCCAGGTACCATGCTTGATATTTTGCTTCTTCTATATGGTTAGTTTTGACATGTTTTCTTTTGTTTTGAGCCTTCCTCTAATAGTAGGGTATATACTAATTCTATACTTCTCTTTTATAAAAGTTATGTCTTGAGTGAGTTTTGACATCTAAACTTTTTTGCACCTTTGGTCCGTAGGTCTTGGGTTCTACTTTCTTTAGAACCTTTGACTTTGGATTTCTAGGTTTATAACTCTTCATATCCTTTGATTGTTGAATATTAGGTATTGTTTTGTTCAGAACCTTTAATTCAATAATCTTGGATTATGGTTTATTCCAAATTTTACCTTTATCAGAGTTAGACACAAATTATGTTTTCAGCACTATTTGAGTACTGCTTGAAGAAGAAGCATCAGAGTTCTTCAAGAGTTGAGCTTTAGAGATAGCATATTTCTCATTGTTTCTCACACCTTTTTCATTGCTCTTGATTACCCCGTATATCATGGAGGCAAGTTTTGTTCTATCAAGACCTATCATTGTACATTCTTGAAGAACAACTTCCTATTTACTCAAGGTTTTATTATAAATTTTATTAACTCGGGTAATGTGATCTTTCTCCCAGGATTCAACTTTGTTTAGAGAGATTTTAAGTTCCTCCTTGAGAAGACCATATTCCTTTTTCAGGGTTTTCATATGTATTGCTTTATCTTGACAATGACATATGAGTTCTTGAACAAACAAAATTAAATCAAAACGGGATAGGTTATAAAATACATAATCTTCTCTGAGTTTGAATCAGAGGTTGATTCGTCTTTTGTATCTGAGTGTGTGATGGCCATAAGAGCTAGATTTGCCCCTCCCTCGTATTTATCTGAATAGCCTTCATTATCAAGTTCATCCCATGTTACCATGATACTCTTCTTTACTTGTTTATGAAACTTTCCATCTCAAAGCTTATTCTCTTCGATCTTTCTTTTTGCAGATTAGGACAATCAACCCTGAAGTGACCAGACTTCTTACAATTGAAGCAGATTTTCTAATCATCTGTATTATCCTTGGAACTAGACCTTATGGAGTTATTGCTTTTACCAGAGAAGTTTTTGTTCCTTCTTTCCAATTGCTTGAATCTTTTGATGATAAAGGCCATTAACTTCTCATTAAAGTCACCATCAGAAACTAATTCATCTAAATCTTCTTCAGAATTTCTGACGTGGAGGATCTGACAGTTTTATTACAAGATCTTCCAGCAATTTACTTTAATGCCAGTGTTATTAATTTCACCACTAGCTCATCTCTATTCAGTTCCATTTCATGGCTCTGAAGGTTGTTAATAAGACTTTTAAGACTCATAGTATTCAGGTCTTTAGCCTCCTAATTAGATGTGACTTGGGTCTGTACTTAGTAGGAAGACTCCTTAAGATCTTCTTTATATGATCAACAGTAGTGTAAATTTTGGTCAGGATCTGAAGGTCTGATACAAGAGTTTGAAACCTAGAAAATATGGTTTCAATGTCCTCATCATCCTTCATCCTGAACAACTCATAGTGTTGAACAAGAAGATTAACCTTCGCTTCTTTCACTTGTTGATTCCCTTTATAAGTGGAAGTCAATGATTAAAAGATAGACTTAGTTGTAAACTTATCAATGATTTTAATATATTCAAAGTGAGGTAAAGCCTCAATCAGAATACCCCTTACTCTATGGTGTTTTCTGTAAACTTTCTTTTAGTATGGCGTAAGAGTTTTTCTATCTTTCACCATCCAAACACTGTCAACAGTCAACTTAATTCCATCCTCAAGTATTTCCTAAAACTCATCATCAAACTGAGTATACATTTTTCTTTTCCACCACTAAATGATGGTAGTTTAGCAGAATAATTATTTTTCTCAACACCACTATAGTCATCACAAATAGTAGGACCATACATGATATTGTAAGTACATTTCTCAGGATCGATTAATTGTTCCATGGTTAAGTGTTTAGCACTGACCGTTCTCTGATGCCAACTGAAGCTAAGAAAAATACATAAGAAGAGGGGGGGTTAAATTGTATGATTAAAAATCATTTATCTTTTAAACTCAGATGTTCAGAGTCTGAACTGCGTTTAGAATCTGTTAACAGAATGTATAGTAGCAGAAAAATAAAATTCAGAAGTAAATGTAATCAACACACAAAAGCTATCCTGGTTTCTCTCATCAATTGAGAGTATTTCAGTATCATTGTCTTAACAAGAGCTTTTCGCTATAACCAAACTGATTACAAATGTTTAAGCCTCTTCTCGAGACTTCTTACTTAATCAACTCTGAATTGGACTTCCTTACTTAAGCCACTGCTCAAGACTTCCTGCTTAAACCCTCTGGTTCAAGACATCCTTGCTAAATCAACCCTAAATGAGACTTCCTATTTTAACCCTTGGTTTAAGACTTCTTTGCTCAAGCATTCATGCGAGAGACTTCTTATATTTTAAACAAACTGTTTAGCAGACAAGATAACTATTATACATTGATACACAATCAGAAGTATAACAATTGTGCAACAATCACAAAGGATTACAACCTTTCTAAGATTTCTAAGATAAATCTAAAATAAGAAACCTTAAGATCTTATGTTATAACACTTACAATAACAACTCAGAGTTATGCTAAGATATTTCTATATGTTGTGATGTTGTAACCTTCCTTTAAGTCTTCAGCTTCCTTTTATAGAGATAAAAAAAGAGTCGTTGGAGGTTTGAACAACAACAAACTTAGTGAAGAAGTATGCCAAGAGAGACGTTGAAGACTTACATATGGTCAGAAGCTTTGTCCACTAAATAATAACATTGTTCATAGCACCTTTTGAGTAACTAGGTATCTACCAAAAGGTAGTACAGACTGAAGAGGTCACATCACCATTCTTGAGCCTTGTAAAATCAAATCTTAGTTAACTCTATTTAGAAATTTGGGGCTCTGATAAGACAAGTCTGCTTTGATGCAGTGTACAGATCAACTGCTCTCCACATCTTCAGAAATTGAGCTATCATCAGAAGCTGGGTCATGATTCCAGAGTCTGATTCCTTCAAAGTCTGATCAACATATTCAGATTCTGACTAGGCAGAATCTGAGTATTGCTTCTTCACTTATACTTTCAACAGGGTTAATGATGAATTATTTAATTTATGATCCTGCACACTTGAACATATGTTAGAAAATCCTATTGTTCTTTCAATACTTTGTTATCATCAAAACCTTTTAAGGGTGTGAACAAATTATGTTCCAACACATTCTGACCCAGAATCGCGAAATGGGTTATGATTTTTGATCCTACGTGATCACTTCTAAGAGAAAGGTAAGGAGAGTCAGGGGATACCCTTAAGCAGAAGTAGATGAAGTTTCAACTTTAGAATCGCTCATTAAATCAATATTATTATCTTTCATTCTGAATAGAAAATAGAAAATACAAAAGATAAAGCTTAAGTAATAAAGGTACTTGATTATGGGAAATTAATAAAGCGAGGGGAATGAAATAAGAAGAAAGTTTAAAGGGAAGCACTGAGTCGCTTCTAATGATACTCTCAGGGAGAAAGGGATGAAGATATTTCTCTAGAAAGTAACTATAAAATTTCAATGCTAAAGGTTGCAAAAAAACTTTCAAATATTCAACTGACTCTATTTATAAGCAATGATAACTGAAAGATCAAGACCAAATACGAAAAGTAATCACGAAATCAAACACTATATTTTCATACATGCCCACTCAAAAGCACTCAAGCATTCTATAAGTTGCATCATACTCTAACTGGTCACGTCACTGAACATATCACAAAATGATGACTAAGCGCTTCGGCGATAGAACGACATTAAATGCACTTGTTTCTCATCACATTTTCAAAATACTAATTCCTAGCGTTTTAGTTCTATTTCACATCGGACTACGGCATGGAGTCCAGTCAATGATACTTAAGGCTTCACCGAGCTCCTTCACTTCCCGATAAAGTCTTGGGGCAACTATTATAGACCGGACAAAAGTCTAATCCATCTCAAATCCATTCTACCCGTTCCAAAGTATAAAAATAATTCACACACTAAAAACAAAGATATAATCTCTGATCTCCGCTTTCATTATGCTCATTTATATTTCTATCTTTATAACTCCTGCTACCTTTCTTCATGTAATCACTGATGTTGTAATAGGAAATGAAATTTCTAATTTATCTGCTGTTTCATCAACTCACAGTGGGTTAGCATACAAGGTAGTTCACATATATCGAATTTTACTAATGGTAATAATATAGATTTCATGGAAGCTGCTTTACATCATAACTTTATCATCCTATCCCTCATACATTCAAAGTAGGTGACTACGCTTTCGTGAAACTGAGACCATACCGTCAAACATCTGTCACAAGGCCTCGTACTCAGAAACTTGCCAAGAAGTTTTATGGTCCCTTCAAGCTCATTAGACAAATTGGAGATGTTGCCTTTGAATTACAGCTCATTAGACAAAGATACATATAGAGCTATTAGTGTCATCTTGGGCCTGACAGACTAACTCCTGATAGATAAGCCTCAGAAGATGTGTCTCCTTCATTGGAGGATTTTGGTGGTTTAGGAACTTCACAAACACCCTCTAACATTTGCACAACTTTTGTCATGGAAGGTCTCATAGACATGTCATCTTGTATACACCACAATGCAACACTTATAGCACAATGAACCCTATCATCACACTCATCATCATCATCCATTTTCATCTCTGAATCAATTATATCCTTTACTTTCCCTTGTTCCATCATCTTAAAAGCATAACGAGGAAAATACGATTTCTCTGAAGTCTCGTTAGGATCATAGTTCTTCCTTCCACCAATTATCTCTAGCAATACCATCCCATAACTGTATACATCACTTTTCTCTGATATAGCATAGTTTTTTATCCACTCAGGTGCGAGGTAGCCTCGCGTTCCTCTCAGCGTTGTGAAAACATGGCTTTGTTCTCTATTTATTAGCGTAGCTAAACCAAAATCAGAAACTTTGGCAGTGAAATGATCATCCAAAAGTACATTTTCAGGCTTAATGTCACAATGAACAATCTTTGAGTCACACTCTTGATGCAGATAAGCAAGTCCTTTTGCTGTTCCTAATGCTATATTAAACCTTGTATCCCAATCTAAAAGAAATTCACTTTTGTTCTTCTTGAATATCCATTTATCCAATGAGTTATTAGCCATATACTCATAAACTAGAAGCCTATGAGTTCCATCTGCACAAAATCCTTTAAGCCTTACCAAATTAAGGTGATGAATGTTACCAATGATGCTAACTTCAGCTCTGAACTCTTTTTTCCCTTGACCAATACCTTCTAGCTTCTTCACAGCTAATTGAGTCCCATCAGGTAGAACTCCTTTGTAAACTGATCCAAAACCTCCTTGACCAAGCTTCACAGAGAAGTTATCCGTTGCAACTTCAAGATCTTTATAGCGGAAACGGATTGGCATGCCGGTTAAATTCTCTAAGAAATTGTCTTCATCTGAATTATCTAGAGGTAAATTTTTCTTTTTCCCGTAGTATCGAAGCACGACAAAGAGCACAATTACAACCAAAGTTAATATAACTGCAACCACAACAGCTATGATGATGTGCTTAGTTCTACTTCCACTTTTATCTCTTGAGACAACCTTAATGTAAGAAACATAACCAGAATCAGAATCATTGAATTTCTGAAAACTTCCAACACTGTCCAACAAGAAACAGTTCCCTGAACTTGTATGGAAAAACATTGCAAGACAAGAGCAATTTCCACGGCAAGATGTTTGACACCCGGCCAAATCAGTATTCGAATAGGGCGGAAGAAAATCAAGCGCGAAGTAACTAAGTCCATCATCAACTTTCAGAAACTCAATTGACTTTTCTGATTTATCATCGCCGCAAGGAGAAACAAAACCTGGTTTACAGCTAGGAAGAAGAACAGAAGGACAGCTACACTTACCACTATTTGTGCATATGTTGTAAGGTTCACAAGGCTCAGGTGTTTGACAAGGATCTTGTGGTATTGTTGTTGAAGAATCACCATTTGATCCACCACCGTTGAGATTAGAGAAAGTAATGACACCGTCCCTTCCCAAAACTGCAATCCAACTTGCATTTATACCTGCATGAAAAGAGAAAATGAATTGCCATAACAAAGAGCTATTGTCATCATAGAATCTCCAAGAATTGGCACTGAGATTTGCAAAAGCAACAACGTCGCCGTTCTTATCAATGGTTCTATGGTTATCCTTCTGCATAGTCCAATAAGTCTGTGGAGTTTTGAAACCAGCTGAAAGAATAACATTACCAGATTTGATCTCAAGAACATAGGTCAAGTTATTATGACTAGGTTCACTGGTAAGTTTCATTCCCTCTTTGAAATTCTGGGAAGGGATCAAAGTATCCGTTGGAAAATCAAAACTCTGCCAAATTACTGTTCTATTGTTTTTGCTCCCAAGCAAAACCAAATTTCCAGTATCCTGCAATACCATTGAAGAAACCCCTTTGTTGATTGTGTTTGTTGACCAGATCACAGTTCCATCTTTCTGTAGAAACGCATTTCCTGATTTATCAAACACGAAATCATCGGAATTTGAAACGGGCAGTGCTCTATTAGCAGTCCAAAGCACGGTGGAGCTAGCCATATGGACTATAACCAATAGAAACTTGGTGCTGTCATAGACTGTGGCGACAAAACCAAAAGCAAAAATTCTATTGGTTGAGAGGAGGAACTTGAAGTCTTTGTCAAGATAATTAGTTTGAGAAGCTTCCATCCCAAGTGAGATTGTGCCAATATATTGATCATCACACCAACACAGTTTGGACATGATCAGAATAAGGATACCAGCAGCAACATTGGATAAAAGAAACAATTGTTTTGTTCCCATGTTGAAGAACGAGTTGAAGATCAAGTTGGAAAGTCAAATAAGTTTGGTGAGAGTTCCTAGAAAATGGTTTCTTATAAAATTTGAATGGAAACATCTATTTGACTTGGAAAAAAGGTTTAGTTTGTGGATTTGTGTAGCTATCATAAAACATATGGATCTGACTTTGACTTTGGTCGCACATCCCTCATTTAAAATGTATACCAGTTGAATTATAACTAAAAGGACTGCACCGTACGTGCGTAGCAAGCTTCTGATGCACTTCTGAAAATACAGTATCTCCTTTGGTATCATTTATTTTGTTAACAAGATAGTCCCACATCAATTATAACATCTAATTAGCTATAATCTCTCTTAATAAAAAATTAATTTGAAAAACATGTTATATTCTTATAGTTTTTATGACACATGACATATTTTTGTATAGATTAATTATGTTTTAGAGTTTTAAAATAGAATCAAACCCTAATAAATCCTAACAAATTAATAATAAAGTATTAAATTTTTCTTTAATACTCCCCTTCAAGTTGGAGGATGAGGATTATGAACACTCAACTTGAATATGAGGTTTTGAAAAACTTTCACGCCTAAGGACATAGTAAAAATGTCAGCATTTTGTTTTTGGTGGGCAGATAAGTTGTGCTTATGGCACCTGACTGTGTGTGTTCCCTAATAAAATTAGTCAATTTCAATGTGCTTTGTTCTTTTATGGAAGACTGGATTTGCAGCTAAATGAAGAGCTGCTTGATTGTCACAATGCAAAAGTGTGAATTTAATGCACGGAACTTGCAGAGTCTCTAAGAAATTATGTAGCCATAATATCTCACTTATGGGATGTGCCATTGCAAGATATTTAGCCTCACTTGAGGATCGAGAGAATATGGCTTATTTCTTTGTTTTTCATGATATTTGAGCGTTGTCAAGTTTCATTAGATAACCTGAGATGGACTTTTTGGTAATGAGACACGATGCTCAATCCGAGTCACAGTAGCCAACTAGTTGTAGATTATTATGTTGTGGATGAATGATGCCTTAACCAAGAGAAGATTTGAGATATCGTAAGAATAGCATAGCAGCATGCCAATGATCTTGGAGTGGAGTTTCCATGAATTGACTTAGAATATGAGTTGTGTAGGTTAATTCAGGCCTAGTGATAGTTAAGTAAATCAGACGTCCAACTAATCTTCTATACCTTGACGGTTCTAAGAGTGGGAGTCCCTAACCCAAAGCAAGTTTGTGATTTTTGTCCATTGGAAACAAAGAAGGATTATAACCAAACATTCCACATTCTTGTAGAATGTCTAAGGTGTATTTTCTTTGACAAAGGAATATCCATTCTAAACCTTGTGCTAGTTCCAGACATAGAAAGTATTTAAGCGAACCAAGTTCCTTCATGTGAAAACATTGACTGAGATATTGCTTGAAGTGATCACAGACCTCAAGGTCATTAGTAGCAATGATCAAGTCATCAACATAGATCAAAATAACAAGAAAATTCATGTGAATAGGTAAATAGACTATGATCAGACTGGTTATCTTGAAAACCATATTTTATCATAGAGTGAGATAGCTTGCTATACCAAATTTCAGATGCTTGTTTCAAGCCATATAATGACTTATTTAATCTACATACCAAATCTTTGTTTGGAATATTATATCCTTGTGGAAGACTCATAACACTTCTTTTATCAGTTCTCCATGCAAAAAGGCATTGTGAACATCCATTTGATGTAATTTCCATCATTTCGCCACTGTAAATGTTTACAAGCATCTGACTGTGGTCATTTTGGCAACTGGTGCAAAAGTTTCATTGAAGTATTCACCTTCTATTTGTTTGTAACCTTTAGCAACTAATATGGCCTTATAGTTTTCAATCTCACATGTAGCTTTTGAAGGTTAAGAAAATACAAGAAAGGGGGTTTGAATTGGGTTTTACAAATTTTTCAATGGAATTTGTAACACACACAAACAAACAAAGGTATGAACCACTGAAAGAAAGAACACTATTGGTTTATCTTGGTTCACTGTTAACAAAGCTAATCCAGTCCATCCGCCAAGGTGATTTTTTCTTATCACAAGGATTTAATCCACTAATCTTTAGCAAGATTAAAACAACCTCTAAGTTATTAACGATATAGCCCTCTCGATTTTACTGACTAACACACTTAGTCACTCAAGGAAAACTTATAACCAACCTCTAAGTTATTCAAAAACAACTTGGCTTTCTCGAGTCTAGTGACTAACACACTTAATCACTCAAGGAATATCACTCAAAAAGTTTTACAAGAGTGTTTACAATAGTGTTTCTTAATAAGAAGATTGAAACAAATTTAAGAATAGTATTTCTACACAAATATGAGCAGCAACTCTTTGTGTTTTGATATTCTTTGACATTGTATTTACTTTAGCGTTTTTGACTTGTGAATCGTTGTTCTTTGCAATGCAGCATAGTCTTCTATTTATAACCTCAAGAGATATACATTGAGAGATAGTAATATCTTTGAGCTATGTTATCTGTCTTCAACGATAGAATCCTTGGAGAGCAGAAGTAATAAGAGCTTAGAAAGTTATCTGGTCAATTCTGAGCAAAATCTTTGCTTTAGACTTTTTAGGAAAGATTTGTTTGTACGGATTCTTGGCCTTCACGTTTTGCTTTGGACTTTGAGTTTTGATCTTTATCATGTATTTTGAACTTTAACATTATCAGAGTCTTCAGAATCCTTTCTTTAAAAACAAGCGCTTTCTTGAGGAGCACATATTTTCTTCTTTAGAAACTCTAGTATCTATCAAAATCTTGTTGAGTTGCACTAGAATTTGATTCCAATGAGAATTTTATATCTTCACACTTAAGATAAAATTAGTGTTTCGGACTGACTCTATGGCTAGGCATGACCCAATCCACTTCTGATCCCAGAACGGCCCAATTGCCTAAATCCAACCAATTTGGGAGAGCATTAACCTTTATGCCCCTCCAACAGGGGAGGTTGATGGTTTACCCCTAGACCAGTACTTCTCCTTGTCAGCCCTTTCCCATCACGCACGGTTCCACCATCCAGAAATAGTCAAGACGCTTGTGCCTGTAACTACGCCTCTGCCCGTAGCAACGGCTAGTTATGGTCACCTTTACCCGTTCCATTGGCTAGTTTCTGTCAGTTACCTATTCTTTGGGAAACGATTGTCTTGCCCCAAAAATAAAGACCAATGGCCAAGCGATGAGGGCACTATAAAAATCTCCCATTTGAGAGAGTCATGTATTCAATATTCACCTAGATACACACATATTTGTTACTTGTCTTCTTTCTCTCAATTCTTACTTTTGCATCGGAGTGTCTTGCAGGTACACCACTATCTTCCTCTTTCACACCCATCATCACAGACGATTGTCTCTGGCCCGCTTCAAGTCTGATCATCCGTCAAGATCAGTGGCACAGTCTATGGGAATCCTGTTATCCTCATCTTTTCTTCCATCGTAGATTCGAGACCAAAATAATTCTTCCGAATTATGATCATGGCCAGCCGTGACAATGCCCATGATGCTCGCAACTCTGCTTTCCTCCCTGTCAGCAAGACCGATACTGATGGATCAACCACCTCTCTTGGGGGAAACGTTCTCCAACAAAAGGACAGAGTCACTGCTTCTCCCTCCCCCGTTCACGCATATCACAACAAGGTCCCACTCGTCCCGGAGCATTTGCCGCTCCCAATTCCGCCCAGCACTGATCCGACCATGGCTGCCCTCCTTGAGGTTCTCAACAATACCCACCTTCTAATCCTAAATTAAAACATGAGGCTTTGAGAGTTATAAGAGTTCAGTCGTCCAAGATCCCCTCTGTCGAAGAAAGAGCGTCAGAGATCAAGAAGTCCTCCTCCCGGCGCGAAAGAAGTCGTCAGGCACCTCTAGAGCCAGAGACTAATCAGTGCATTTCAATGCACACTCTCTTATTTTTTTACTTAAGCATTTCGCTAGTTTGTTTTGTATATTTTACAGTTTTATTGTGTTTTTATAATTTAGTCTTTTTTTGCCTTTAATCTATTTTCGCAGCTTATTTTTAGCTTTAGCGGTTATTTGATATCTGTCCACTGTTTGGATCATAACTGGAGCTTCGAGAATCAGATTTGTGCATTCTAATAGGTGTTGGAAAGTTAAGACAGAGAGCTAAAACTTTTATGTTTGAGACAGAAGCTGATTGGAGTGTAGCAGGTCCAAATAATTCGTTGAAGTCAGGACCCGAAATCTGTCGTTAGAAATATTTAGTTTTGAGCTGGGTTTTTTATGTTTTTCGACCCAGTTGGGTTAAAACCAGAAGGATTGATGATTTCATATACTTAGCAGTCGTGCTACTGTTACTTTAACCTTTTTTTACAAATTTTTTATTACTTTGTAGGAATCTTATGGAGAACTAACTTCTTCAGGTTAATCTGCTGTAATCGGTTTCCGCCGACACTTTGAGGTTATTTTAGTTTCCCATAAAAATATATTTCCTTTCAATTCGTCTCTGTGATATGTTGTTTTCTTAATTCGATTTATCTTAGGGGTGATTGATTTATTTTGATGATTGCATGCTCTTATACTTTAATCGTGTTTGCTTAATCCGCGAATGTTTCTCGTGTTTGCTTAATTCACGGCCATAGAGACCAATAGTCAAAAGAAATCTATTGTTTCCTATTGTTACTGTGTTTAGCTAAGGCTAATGAAGTAGTTAAAAGGAAGGAAAACAAAATAAACGGATTTAATAAAAACAGATGAATAACAATGCTGAAATGTAATTCACATCAATCGACAATGCTTCGATTGGCTCTGCTAAGATAATTTACGAGGAAATATTTCCTATTTAGAAAAGAACTAATTTAACAAGAATTGTCGCTTTCGCGTATTCAAAACCAAACTTACTCTCTAATTTATACCTTTTATTTGTCACTTATGGAAAGCGCTTACTGCGTTAAAGTAGTAAACTCACTTTTAAGAAATTAGACTCTTAACTTAATAGAAAATGATTTTGATT